GTGTGTGTGTGTGTGTGTGTGTGTGTGTGTGTGTGTGTGTGTGTTCGTTCAAGGCAGGGGTTGGAAGCCACTAATTTAGTTGTACCCTTTCACTGAAAGGCCGACTTTGAAACTGGAGGGAGATGCCCTGGGAGAACAGTGGGTCTCCTGCCAACGGCCCCGAGAGCACCTTGCTCCTTCACCTCTTCCCAGAGGGCCAAGGGCAACTGTGACCTCATCTTCTTCTTCAGGTCTAGCTAGCAGGGATGCCCCGTGCCTCAGCACAGTGTCCAGAACAGTCAGGAGACTAGAGTCACATCCTATTGCCAACTCCAAGCCCTGCCCTTTGGTGCCTGTGTATCATTTAGAAACCACTTGGTTTCCAGAGTCTTGGGTCCCTCATCTGTAGAACAGGACTATTGATGCCAGCTTGGTCCTAGGATCTGATGTACATGCAGGTCAGGTTCTCTAAAGCGTCACTCGAGACCTAAGTAGTACCAGATCCACCAAGACAGTTCCGTGCAGGAGGAACTTCATTTTACTTCTCCCAGGTCCAGTAGGTTTTAATACCGAAAGAAAACCTCATCATAAGCACCCCACACCACCCATGGCTTCTGGTGCTCTTCAGGCGACACCTGCTGGCCATAATAGGTACTGTATCCTCACCTGGCCAAACTATTGAGAAAGCTTAGTGCTCTTTGAACTCATCTGTACTTCTTGCTCTTAGGTTGGAAAGAGGAAGGAGTCCTTCCCTCCCAGGCAGAGACTGCCTCTCCTCCTACCCTCCCTCTAATCCAAAGCAGAAACTAACAAGGGCACAAACAGAGTGTGAGTTTAGGACCAACCTGGTCTAGAAAGACTTGTGCTCACAGCAAGAGCCCCGCCACATCCCGTTGTTTCTGTCTCAAGAGAAGCCAGGCTGAGTGAGGGATGAGGCTCCAGGTACAGACACACAGGTGACTCAGAGAAGCCACTTGTCGGGCCAGGCCAGGGCTTTAGGACAGGCTGCCCCACAACTCACTTCCATGTCTGAATACTGGGGTGTTTGGAAGAGTGGCTAGCTTGAAACATGGGTGGGAGAGGGGCAGGACTGGGGTGTCCCTGGTCCAGGGTACTTTGCCAGGAGGATGCAAAGTCTACTGATGATGTCCTATAATGCAATACAATACAATTCAACACAATACAAGGTGCGCAGGGAGACGGCTCAGTGGATAAAAGCATGGTAGAAGAGATGCTTGAAAATTGTTCTCTGACCTCCACGTGTATACATCGTGGCATTTATGCGTGCACGCTCTCATAATAACAAATAGAATAAAAATGTAAAAATCCAAGGTGATGAGCAGGAGTTGTAGGGTAACCTGTGAAACCAGACTGGCCTCAAGTGAATAGTGAGTGCTCCTGGGAAATGGGCCGGGTGGCCCAATAGACTGCTCTCCCTGCTTGAGTGTGTTTGAAATTCTGTGTCAAATCTGCTTTGGGACGGTAACAGCAAAGACTGCCACCACCACCAGTGACCATACAGAGGTCACCATCTGTGTGAGGACAAGTTAGCCAGTTCCTCCTAACCTTGGCTGTGCAGTGGGAATGTCGAGCAAGAACCTGGCCCTCTCGGACTGTGTGAGATAAGGCTGCAATGTTCTGAGAACCTGAGTGTGGCACTGAGCCACCACGAGGGCCTGTTACAGTCATCATGAGGAGTAGCCATCCATGGCCCTGCCTAAAATTTGCCAAATGGAACAGCTGATGCCGACAAACGGTTGATTCTGCTTAGCTTCAGGGAACTAACTATGGTGTCGTTGAAGACATCCTTAAAATGCCACATGCCGCAGTGTGAGATTGTCTCAGCTGCAGACACAGACTGTGTCCTTTTCACCAACACAAGGCCAACCCTGGGATTTTCTGTTCCCCAAGTCCTACCTCCGTTTTTGCTGACTGCCCTTGTCTCTGAATTCAAGCAACTCTTTCATAGTTTCCGTAAACCTCAACCCTCAGTGAGATTTGAAAAGTCATCTGTCCCAACCACACCGTCCCAGATTCGCTCAACAAGCACGTAGAAAATGTCCAGCTGGAGTGTGGAGGGGCGAGTAGACTGTGCAAGAGAAAGAAGCAGCCCCGCCAGGGACATGAACACCATTGTAGATACAGGACGGCTGACCAGCAGCCGTCTCTGCTAGGTGCAGGGAGAGAGGCCAGCACTCCAGAGGTGGAGGCAGGAGGATCAAGAGTTCAAGGTCATCCTTAGCTACTTAGAAAGTTTGAGGCCATCCTAGGCTACATGTAATCCTTAAAAAAAGGGAAAGAAAGGGTTTAGAAAGATGGCTCAGAGGTTAAGAGCACTGTTACTCTTACAGAGACCCTGGTTCAATTCCTGGCCCTCACATGGCAGCTCACAATAGTCCTAGGGGGATCCATTGCCTTCTTCTGGCCTCTGTGGGCACTGCATGCACATGGCGCTTTGGCATACATAAATTGTGTGTGTGTGTGTGTGTGTGTGTGTGTGTGTGTGTGTGTGTGTGTGTGTGTAGTGGGTGG